TGATGGGGCACTATTCCTCCCACTGACACCAATGATGGGATACTATTCCTTTCACTGACACCAATGATGGGGCTTTGTTACAAATGCCATGACAATGTGTACTCCCACTGGCCCCACGGTCTGGCCCCTCTAATGTCTGAAGGATAGTAAACTGGCCCTTGGCCTTTGTTTAGAACATTTGGAGACCCCCCTGTCCTTGGGTAAAGTGTTGAGATAGGTTGGTCTTCACCATTTTCTTGGTCTAACAATTGTTACATCTCATAGTATTGGATTTGACATTCCTGTGGTCTCCTCTACATGGCATAGAGGTTGGATGTCTTTGGCTTCTTTAACAACCTATCACATGGACACGTGACATCAATGTATTTCCATGTCTGGAGCCCGGCTACAACACGCAATCTTCCGATTATAGCCAATCTCTCAGATAATCCCGCCTCTTCCATGGACCGCCTCCCGTGTTCCCGGTCTTGTTCACATATTAGTCTTCTGCTTGTCAGCAAATGCAAATATTTCCAACAAAACTTCTGTTGGTCAGTTTCACCGCGTGCAAATCTACAAAGAGCTGAGCAAACAGAATGTGATTCATGTGAAGAGTACACTTCTTTCAGTGTTGTTTGTGTGCACACTGTGAGCGCTGGGCACACCCCTAGTGAGGGCCAGATTCCCTAGTGAGGGCAAGATTCCCTAGTGAGGGCAAGATTTGCTAGTGATGGCCAGATTACCTAGTGAGGGCCAGATTCCCTAGCGATGGCCAGATTCCCTAATGATGGCCAGATTCCCTAGTGAGGGCCAGATTCCCTAGTGATGGCCAGATTCCCTAGTGAGGGCCAGATTCGCTAGTGAGGGCCAAATTCCCTAGTGAGGGCCAGATTCCCTAGTGATGGCCAGATTCCCTAGTGAGGGCCAGATTCCCTAGTGAGGGCCAGATTCCCTATTGAGGGCCAGATTCCCTAGTGAGGGCCAGATTCCCTAGTGAGGGCCAGATTCCCTAGTGATGGCCAGATTCCCTAGCGATGGCCAGATTCCCTAGCGAGGGCCAGATTCCCTAGTGAGGGCCAGATTCCCTAGTGAGGGCCAGATTCCCTAGTGAGGGCCAGATTCGCTAGCGATGGCCAGATTCGCTAGCGATGGCCAGATTCCCTAGCGATGGCCAGATTCCCTAGCGAGGGCCAGATTCCCTAGTGAGTGCCAGATTCCCTACCGATGGCCAGATTCCCTAGCGAGGGCCAGATTCCCTAGCGATGGCCAGATTCCCTAGCGATGGCCAGATTCCCTAGTGAGGGCCAGATTCCCTAGCGATGGCCAGATTCCCTAGTGAGGGCCAGATTCCCTAGCGATGGCCAGATTCCCTAGTGAGGGCCAGATTCCCTAGCGATGGCCAGATTCCCTAGGGATGGTCAGATTTAGCAAATGACAAAGAACAATGAGAATGAGTGAAATCTTTTGGTTCCTCTGGTAATTTATTAGGGCTGCTTTACACTTGCTCCGGTGATGCTTTTCTATTTCTTTAAAGGGGTCCAGCAGATCCCCAGCTCATCAGTACCCCTGTTCAGCAGATCCCCAGCTCATTAGTACCCCTGTTCAGCAGATCCCCAGCTCATTAGTACCCTTGTTCATCAGATCACTTGCTCAGTAGTAATTCCCAGGGGTGCTGATCCCCCGCTCAGTAGTAACCCCAAGTTCTGCTAATCCCCCCGCTCAGTAGTACCCCCAGCTCTTGTGATCTCACACTCAGTAGTACCCCCCAGCTTTGCTGATCCCCTGCTCAGTAGTAACCCCCAGCTCTGCTGATGCCCCACTCAGTAGTACTCCCCGCTTTGCTGATCCCCCGTTCAGTAGTAACCTCCAGCTCTGCTGATCCCATGCTCAGTAGTAACCCCCAGTAAAGTTTCAGCACCACAAGTGGTAACCCTGAGCTACATTTGGGAGCAGGGGCGGACTGACAAATCATGGGGCCCCCGGGCAATAGGGGATCATGGGGCCCCTGTGTCCTTGCCCAAACTCAAAAAAGCCTATGAAAAAGGTACCAGGGGCATCTCATGGGGTCACCTACTGACCCCGGGCCCTCGGGCAGTGCCGAGTTTCCAAATGGTCAGTCCACCCCTGCTCGGGAACACCCTGAAGCGTTGCTCCGGGATCTCTCCAGCACTTACCTTGTCCTGCGCTCCCGCGATGTCCCCCCTGCAGTGTCCCCTCCATCTCCTCCGGCCGATGCCGGCATCTGTCTTCCGGGTTCCGTTCCCTGCGAGCGTCGGGACGTACGGGGGACGGAACTGGCGGGAAATTTAAAAATATCAAAAAGTGACATTCACTAAATCCACTAAAATCACAGAGTATAACATTCCTGTATCAAACCATTTCACATACAGTTTGTCCCGAGTGCTTTGTCCGGCGCCCTGCCTGCATTTTTACTGTTCTTTCTGCCTGGAAACTGAGAAACGTCCATGGCGTCCAAAAAAGCGTCCCTTTAGGTCAGACGCGGTTTTAGACCGGCTAGAGAACAGCGATAGTAAATCAGAACCACTTGCAGAATTGAGTGATAATGATTGGTGGGGGAAATTCCTCATCAGACACTGAAAACGATTCTGCGACTGAGCTCAGCGATGTGCGAACTTGGCGCTCTATTTCACATTTCAGTGTTTTTGGTGATTATATTATTGAATTAAATTTATTATTATTTTTTATGATTATGTATTATATTATAATTTATGATTTCGTGTTTCAAATTTTATCCTCCCCGGGATGTTTACTAGACTCTTGTCCGGACAGATTTCAGGGAATTATTCCTACAAATTACAGGCCGACAATAAAAAAAGACATATTTCCATGCAAAAAAATGTACCGCTTTTGAGCACAGAAATATGGACATAATCAGACCACTAGGGAGGCTGCAGTTTTGTTTTGTTTTTTGTTTTTTTCATTCATATAATCCCAATGAATTTTGAAATGTTTTACTGAAAACGAAGGACCAGGATAAGAAATATATACATATACTGAAGGCAAAGAATAATAATGGAGGCCATCTATAGCCTTACCTTACCCAGACTTTGACCGCTCAGATATCACCTTCACAAAGAGGGAAACAAAGTCGGTGAGATTCAGAGTCTACCGCAATAATGTTCAACAATCAGTCGGTGAGGAAAACTAAATCCAGCGCATTGCAGAGATTATATAGTTCTTCTATTTCTCAAGAGCTCTGTTGGTGAGATCTCAGAGGTTCCCAGGTCTGTACACCCGTTGTGCCCATTATGAGGGGTTCCCACCATCCCTGTGCTGAGTTCCCAGGTCTGTACACCTGCTGTGCCCATTATGAGGGGTTCCTACCATCCCTGTGCTGAGTTCCCAGGTCTGTACACACACTTTGTTCATTATCAGGGGTTCCCACCATCCCTGTGCTGAGTTCCCAGGTCTGTACACACACTTTGTTCATTATCAGGGGGTCCCACCATCCCTGTGCTGAGTTCCCGGGTCTGTACACCCGTTGTGCCATTTATGATGGGGGTTCCCACCATCCCTGTGCTGAGTTCCCGGGTTTGTGCACCCGCTGTGCTCATTATGAGGGGTTCTCACCATCCCTGTGTTGAGTTCTCGGGTTTGTAGACCCGCTGTGCCCATTATGAGGAGGGGTTCCCACCATCCCTGTGCTGAGTTCCTGAGTCTGTACGCCTGTCGTGCCCATTATGAGGGTTTCCCACTATCCCAGTGCTGAGTTCCCAGGTTTGTATGCCCGCTGTGCCCATTATGAGGTTCCCACCCCCACCATTCCTGAGTTCCCAGCTGAGTTCCCACCATTCCTGTGCTGAGTTCCCAGGTCTGTACACCCGTTGTGCCATTTATGAGGGGTTTCCACTGTGCCCATTATGAGGGGTTCCCACCATTCCCTGAGTTCTCCGGGTTCTGTACACCCACTTGTGCCCATTATGAGGGGTTCCCACCATCCCTTTTGCTTGAGTTCCTGAGTCCCTTCGTACCCTGAGTTCCCCTATATCCTGCTTTGTAATTGCCCGCTCGTGCCCATTATGAGGTTTTCCCACCATTCCTGTGCTGAGAGTTCCCGGGTCTGTACACCCACTGTGCCCATTATGAGGGGTTCCCACCATTCCTGTGCTGAGTTCCCAGGTCTGTACACCCGTTGTGCCCATTATGAGGGGTTCCCCCATCCAAATGCTTAGTCCCGGTTTTGTACACCCGCTGTGCTCATTATGAGGGGTTCCCACCATCCCTGTGCTGAGTTCCCGGGTCTGTACACCCCACTGTGCCCATTATGAAGGGTTCCCACAATCCCTGTGCTGAGTTCCCAGGTTTGTATGCCCGCTGTGCCCATTATGAGGTTTTCCCACCATTCCTGTGCTGAGTTCCCGGGTCTGTACACCCACTGTGCCCATTATGAGGGGTTCCCACCATTCCTGTGCTGAGTTCCCAGGTCTGTACACCCGTTGTGCCCATTATGAGGGGTTCCCACCATCCAAATGCTTAGTTCCCGGGTTTGTACACCCGCTGTGCTCATTATGAGGGGTTCCCACCATCCCTGTGCTGAGTTTCCCGGGTCTGTACACCCACTGTGCCCATTATGAAGGGTTCCCACAATCCCTGTGCTGAGTTCCCAGGTCTGTACACCTGCTATTCCCATTATGAGGTTTTCCCACCATCCCTGTGCTGAGTTCCCGGGTCTGTACACCTGCTGTGCCCATTATGAGGGGTTCCCACTATCCCAGTGTTGAGTTCCTGGGTCTGTACACCCGCTGTGTGTCCATTATGAGGGGTTCCCACCATCCCTGTGCTGAGTTCCCGGGTCTGTACACCCGCTGTGCCCATTATGAGGGGTTCCCACCATCCCTGTGCTGAGTTCCCGGGTCTGTACACCCGCTGTGCCCATTATGAGGGGTTCTTTACCATCTCATCCAAGACATGGGGTCATTAACTCTGAGGACCATTGATCAGAACTGTATTTTTTAGTATATTTTTGTGTTAATCATTGTCATCTTGATATTATTTTCCAGCTTTCCCTCGGACGATTCCTGAACGACTCGAATTTAATAACCAAAGAGTATAAAGAAGTAAGTCTGTTATTAATTTTTCATTATTCTTAAAAAAAAAGAGTCAAGCTGCTAAAATGCGATATATAAAGGAAAAGTGTCTTTTCAGAGAGGTAATAGAAGTATTTTTCCTCATCCCCTTATGCAGGCCATAGACGGGAGAAAAACCGGCCATTTTTTTAACAAAAACGAAAAATCGGTCGTTTAATAGGCCGACGTTACCACCAACAGTAAAAAAAATCGTCAGATTTTCTTCCCGTCTACGGCCGGTATTTAATTACTTCTGTCCCTGCAGAGAGCCCCGCTATTATATTTGACATTAAAAAGTATTGTGGTTGCAACAATGTATCCATTTGTATCCGTTTTGGATACAGATGGGTTTTTCGGATACAAATGGATACATTGTTGCAACCGCAATACTTTTTTAATGTCAAATATAATAGCAGACTGGAATTCCTCTTTCTTTCTTCTCTTCTGCTTCTTCTCTTCTTTCTCTCTTCTTTCTACTCTTCTTCTCTTCTTCTTCTTTCTCTTCTTCTTCTTTCTCTTCTTCCTCTTCTTCTCCTTTCTCTTCTTCTACTTCTTTCTCTTCTTTCTTCTTCTTCTTTCTCTTCTTCTTCTTCTTCTTCTTCTTCTTTCTTTCTGTTCTTCTTCTTCTTCTTTCTGTTCTTCTTCTTCTTCTTTCTCTTCTCTCTTCTTCTTCTTCTTCTTTCTCTTCTTCCTCTTCCTCTTCTTTTCTCTTCTTCTTTCTTTTTTTTTTCTCTTCTTCTTTCTCTTCTTCCTCTTCTTCTACTTCTTTCTCTTCTTCCTCTTATTCTACTACTTTCTCTTCTCTCTTCTTCTTTCTCTACTTCTTTCTCTTCTTTCTCTTCTCTCTACCTCTTCTTTCTCTTCTTCTTCTTTCTCTTCTTCTTCTTCCTCTTCTTTCTCTTCTTCTTTCTCTTCTCTCTTCTTCTTCTTTCTCTTCTTCTTCTTTTCTCTCTCTCTCCTTCTTCTTTCTCTTCTCTTCTTCTTCTTTCTCTTCTCTCTTCTTCTTCTTCTTTCTCTTCTTCTACTTCTGCTTCTTCTTCTTTCTCTTCTCTCTTCTTCTTCTTTTTCTTCTTCTTCTCTCACTTCTGCTTCTTCTTCTCTTCTTCTTCTTCCTCCTCCTCTTCCTTCTTCTTCATCATCTTCTTCTTCCTTTTCATCTTCTTCCTCTTTCTCTTCTCTCTTCTGCTTCTTTCTCTTCTTCTTTCTCTTTCTCTCTTCTCCTTCTTTCTCTTCCTCTTCTTTTTCTTCCTCTTTCTCTTCTAATTTTTTTTTCTTCTCTTTCTTTCTTTTTTTTTTTTCTTCTTCTTCTTCTTTTTCTTGCAGGTCACGGCTCATGCGCAGATTTTTTATTGGTAAAAAAGATCGGCCGATTTGCCCATCATTGCCGTGAAATGTTTTTTCCAACTTTACCGATCAAAAAAATCTGACAAAATCCAGAAAAACGGCCGACCAATTAACCCACTAGTGGTGTGAAAATCGGCCGATTTTCGACCTGTCTATGGCCTGCATTAGTGATGTTAATGCCTGAACACAATTTTGCAGCTACAGTGATAGTAAAACTGGTCATGGATGTATCTTGTTTCTTTTTTTTTTTTTAAATTATTATTATTAACAAAGGAAAACTGGTCCAAAATATAAAAAAAAAAAGAAGAAATATCATTATTTAAGAAATGTAGCTTTATATTTCTTGCTACTATCATAACCCGCCACCAAAGAACAACTCAAAATAAATTCTCCTGCTCCTGACGATCGCTGCGATACCACATATGTGGACGTTTACTGGTACCAGGAGCAGGGCGGGCTGACAACTCATGGGGCCCCAGGGCAATAGAGGATCATGGGGCCCCTGTGTCCTTGCCCACACTCAAAGCACACCCAAAAAAGCCTATGAAAGGCACCAGGGGAATTTCATGGGGCCCCCTACTGACCCCCGGGCCCTCGGGCAGTGCCCGGGTGCCCAAATGGTCAGTCCACCCCTGACCCGGAGTATGGCCCAGAAACAATGGGGCCCAGTTTGCTTTTCTTTCTTTTTTATCCCGCCTGAAACATACTGACACTGATACTTAATAATTGCTTGGTGTTTTTTTTTTTTTTCAAATTCTGTCCAAAATATACTGACCGTGACCTTTGACCTTTACTTGACCCAAACACTAACCCTGGCACTGACCTACATCAAACCTTGATCTAGTTATTTTTTTTTTCCTCTGGAGAATGTTTTCCATGAATTGAGGAAATGCAAAGTGTTCTCTGAATAGCTATGAGCCCAGCAGGTGACCTCCTGTGTTCACAATGTAGCGGGGCAGCCGCTCAGCACGGGACCTGGAAACTAGCCATGATCACTGGAGTGTCTCTTCCTGCTATAGTGATTTTTAACTACCACAGGGATCTTCAACATGCATATCTGCAATGCTCCACGTTTGACCAATATAACGAGCAATAATAGCCAAATCTAAACTTCAGTTTTAACGGGTCAGTTCACATTCACCAAAAAAATTACAGCACGTGACCTGGAAACTAGCCATGATCACTGGAGTGTCCGTTCCTAGTACAGTAGTTTCCAAATTCCACGGGGATCCTCCACATGCATACAGTATCTGCAATGCTCCAAGCTTGACCAATATAACAAGCAGTAATAGCCAAATCTAAACTTCAGCTTTAATGGGTCAGTTCACATTCATCAAAAAAATTGCAACACGAAGACCGGAAACTAGCCATGATCACTGGAGTGTCCATTCCTAGTACAGTAGTTTCCAGATTCCACGAGGGATCCTCCACATGCATATCTACAATGCTCCAAGCTTGGCCAATGTAACCAGCAATAATAGCCAAATCTAAACTTCAGCTTTAACTGGTCAGTTCACATTCACCGAAAAAATTACAGCACGGGACCCAGAAACTAGCCATGATCACTGGAGTGTCGACCCTTCCTACTACAGTGATTTTTAACTACCACAGGGATCTTCTACATGCATACCTACAATGGCCCAAGCGCCACCTCATCCAATCAGAGAATGCTTTGCAGTATTTGAGGAAAGGCAAAGCGTTCTCTGAATGGTGCTTGTGCCCAGCAGGCGACGACCTCCTGTGCTCACAATGTAGTTGGGCAGCCTCTCAGCATGTGACCCAGAAACTAGCCATGATCACTGGAGTGTCATTCCTAGTACAGTAGTTTCCAGATTCCACGGGGATCCTCCACATGCATATCTGCAATGCTCCAAGCTTGACCAATGTAACCAGCAATAATAGCCAAATCTAAACTTCAGCTTAACAGGTCAGTTCACATTCACCAAAAAAAATTACAGCACGGAACCTGGAACTAGCCATGATCTCTGGAGTTTCTCTTCCTACTATAGTGATTTTTAACTACCACAGGGATCTTCTACATGCATACCTACAATGGCCCAAGCTCCGCCTCATCCAATCAGAGAATGCTTTACAATTATTTGAGGAAAGGAAAAGTGTTCTTTGAATGGTGCCTGTGCCCAGCAGGTGACCTCCTCTGTTCACAATGTAGCAGGGTATCTGCTCAGCACGGGACCCGGGAAAAACTAGCCATGATCACTGGCGTGTCCCTTCCTATACAGTGATTTTTAACTACCACGGGGATCTTCTACATGCATACCTACAATGCCCAAGCGCCACCTCATCCAATGTAACTTTGCAGTATTTGAGGAAAGGCAAAGCGTTCTCTGAATGGTGCTTGTGCCCAGCAGGCGACCTCCTGTGCTCACAATGTAAAAGCCTTCAGCATGGACCCAGGAAACTAGTCATGATCACTGGAGTGTCATTCCTAGTACAGTAGTTTCCAGATTCACGGGGATCTTCCACTGCATATACAATGTTATCTTACAATGCTCCAAGCTTGACCAATGTAACCAGCAATAATAGCCAAATCTAAACTTCAGCTTAACAGGTCAGTTCACATTCACCAAAAAAATTACAGCACGGAACCTGGAAACTAGCCATGATCTCTGGAGTTTCTCTTCCTACTATAGTGATTTTTAACTACCACAGGGATCTTCTACATGCATACCTTCAATGGCCCAAGCTCCGCCTCATCCAATCAGAGAATGCTTTACATTATTTGAGGAAAGGAAAAGTGTTCTCTGAATGGTCCTGTGCCCAGCAGGTGACCTCCTCTGTTCACAATGTAGCAGGGTATCTGCTCAGCACGGGACCCGGGAACTAGCCATGATCACTGGAGTGTCCGTTCCTCTATAATGGTTACCAGATTCCACGGGGATCTTCCACTTGCACATCTACAATGCACTAAGCTTGGCCAATGTAACGAGCAATAATAGCCAAATCTAAAACTTCAGCTTTAACTGGTCAGTTCACATTCACCAAAAAAATTGCAGTATGGGACCTGGAAACTAGTCATGATCACTGGAGTGTCTGTTCCTACTACAATGGTTTCCAAATTCCACGGGGATCTTCCACTTATATATCTACAATGCTCCAAGCGTGACAAATGTAACCAGCAATAATAGCCAAATCTAAACTTCAGCTTTAACAGGTTAGTTCACATTCACCAACAAATTAGAAACTAGCCATGATCACTAGAGTGTCACTTCCTACTATAGGAATTTTAACTTCCACAGGGATCTTCTACATGCATACCTTCAATAGCTCAGGCTCCACCTCAACCAATCAGAGAATGCTTTACATTATTTGAGGAAAGGCAAAGTGTTCTCTGAGTAGCACCTTTGCCCAGAAGCTGGCCTCCTGAATTCAGAATGCGACAGGGCAGCCGCTCAGCACTGGACCCGGAAACTAGCCATGATCACTGGAGTATCTGTTCCTATTACAGTAGTTTCCAAATTCCATGGGGATCTTCCACATGCATGTCTACAGTTCTCCAAGCTTGACCAGTATAACTATGCAGTATTAGCCAAATCTAAACTTCAGCTTTAGAGGCTCAATTCACCTTCACCAAAAAACCTGCCTATTCGGGTAAGGGGTGTCTTTAGCTAAAAAACAAATGTGTAATT